TTTTTTTTTTTTTTTTTTTTTTTTTTTTTTTTTTTTTTTTTAAGTCCAGGGTGTTGTAGAGGCCAGTTACTAGGCACGCATTGATGGCCGGAAGCGGTCAGCCATGGTCACTCTGAGGAGGCGAGGCGACCACCCATCCCATCATCACGTTTATTTTCCTAGCGGATCCCCTATCCCTACTATCCTACCTCAGTGTGACCAGCACTCAGGACCATCACCCTACCAGTATAAAGGGGAAGTTGGACCGAACAGTAGTGATAGGCACCAGGGCTAGCGACCAAGCCCTGGTTGAAGCATAGTCGAACGAGCCTCGTCGTACGGGTACTTCGGACGCCAGGCTCAAGCAATCACCTATTGGCCCCTAAATTGACCAACTAGTAACTCACGCCCTCTACTCTCCCACCACAGACCTAGTTGTATATTTAATGCGGGGTACTTATCATCGAGGCGCCTATCATCATCACCAGTTGGAGCTGACCAAGCCAACCAGTGACTCACGCCCTCTACGGTCCCGGCACAGACCCTAGCTGTATATTTAAGGCGGGGTACTTATCATTGAGACGCCTATCATCATTATCAGTTGATCATGACCTCCACCCAGCCCATTATGTATGCGTGTGTATGCGCGCGCTTGTGTGTGTGTGTGTGTGTGTGTGTGTGTGTGTGTGTGTGTGTGTGTGTGTGTGTGTTTGTTGTGTGCTTCAATGCACCCATGGCAAGTTTCACTATGCCAGGTATGATCTCCGATGACGAATCATCGGCACACCTCAAGCTTGGGTATAATTCGCAAGTATGGTAGGCATCGTCTATTGCGGCGAAAAAAAACATCTACTCGAGTTTCAGAGTAATACCGCGTTCCGATGAAAAAATCGTTGCTTGTTCATTGTACAACAACCATTGCAAGTAGTGATCGTCCAATACCGCAACCATTCATCGATTATTTTGGGATTCAACTTTATCACAGGGGTTTTCCTTGTAAGAATCGCGTGGTGGGCGAAGGCAGGCTAGCCCTAATAACGGGTTGCTAGTGCGTCTTTTCGCCTTGCTTCTCTTACTGTGGCGTGGGGAGCCTACTCATGCGCCCCTGAATCGAAGTGGTGGTTGTATAAACAATAGGGGGAATTGATGGCCCTGCGTCTCTTTATTACATCGAGATCCCGGTTCGTGCGCAGGCCATCGTGGGTTGCGAAAGTTGTGATCTTATCAGTCCTTATCAGGGGTCAGATCGCGCCTGACTCCTTCATACGGGATGGGTTACTGATCGTGTTCGTGCCTAATCCTTACTCACAGTTCGAAGGGAATGGACCAGAATTCAGCTCATTATTACGAGATGGGTTACGGATTGAATCGCGTCCAACTCTTACTCATGGTACGAAAGGGATGGGTAGGAAGCCAGCTAATCGCAACAGGGGTTCGGATCATATTGGCGATTCAGAGAATCGGGATTACTCCCCTTGACAGGTATAACCGAAGTATGAAACCAATAGCATGGGAATGGGGTGGAAGCCAAACACTTATATCCTATTTATCGTGTTATGATCACGTGCGACTGTTGCAAGGCTTATCAAGATCTTGATGCGTCGCCGCAGGTAGCCTACCTTGTCGCTATGCATCGTGGGTTCTTGGACCTTTCTACGGCTAAGATCTTTTTCAGATGAATCAAGGAGATATTGATTTCCAATCGCACAAAGAAAAAAAATGGAGGAAAGCATAATCATTCAGAAATTGTGAGGTTCGGATCGCCATCGACATATGGTGCGATGTCGCAGGAAATCATCCGCCAACCCTTGGGGGGGGGTTCTGCGGATCATTGCTTGCCACATCGCTCAGCAAATGCGGGGGGGTTCATGCGAAAGAAGCTTCATACGTTTTTAAGAACAGGGGATCGTTCAGGTTTACCACTCCCATCACGTGTTCGGGGAATCGGTAAGCTCAGCAATCACGCACGAAGACGCGACTACCTCGAAGCATAGATAAAAAAGAAGACAGAGCGAGGAACCGGGCTCCTCAGATCACGGGTGCTTGTGCAGCAAGGAGCCATCCACCACCTATTTGGTGGTTTCAGGGGATTGCTGCTTGTTGCATGGCACGGTGTATCTGTAGGGACCTGGCTACATGCTACGAATCACTGCGCACCCCCAGTATTACGACACTAGCTCAAGTATATTGCAAAAGAGATCGTCACACCATGCACTGGCAAACATTAAATCTCACAGAACAGAAAGCGAATCACTTCAGCATTTCCAGTATTACGGTACTTGGTCAAGCACATCGTAAAAAGAGATCGTCACACTATGCATCGTCAAACATTGAATCTCGCAACACAGAAAGCGAATCACTCAGCATTTCCAGTATCCCGACACTCACTCAAGCACATCACAAACAAGGAGAGGTCGTCACACTATGCACTGTCAAGCATTAAATCCTATAGAGCAGAATGCGAATCACTCAGCAATATCCGTACTGAGGTACTTATTCAAGCAAATCGTAACAGAGATCATCAGACCGAAAAATTGTCACACCATGCACTTAGCGAACATTAGACCTACACAGAAGCAGAGTTGTTTTTCCACAAAAGACCCTTCTCGAAGCGCCGAAATTTCTAAAGATACCCTCCGTTGAGTCCCAAATCGACGAACAGCAGCAGGTGAGAGGGAGGGGATGGGGTCAGAAAAAGAAAAAGAAAAAGAAGAGTATGCTGCACCATACATCTAAACGATCCTGTTATCGCTCAAGGCGAGAGGACCAGAATGCAGATTCACAGGAGGGAGTGGCACTTCCCTGAGGCCTTTCTGCCGCATGCCACGTGCGGCTTCATCAGAGGAAGAACCCTTCCTTTGTCGTCAGAAGGGGGATTGGGAAAGAGAGCTAAGCGGGAAGAGGGGCGGAAGAGGGGACGAGAAAAAAGTTCAGGGAGGGGGGAAAGGGGGGGAGAGAGGGGGGGAGAAAGGGGGGGAGGGGGGGAGGGGAAATGGAATTCTCCCTGCACGCCATCAACTCGAAATAACCCGAAGCAGCAGTAACCCCCCGGTAATTGTAGCGGAAGCCGCACAAGCCAAAAACACTGCGATGTACGCTATGGAGAAGCAAAGAAGTGCAGACGCAAGTTTGGCCGAAGCGAGGAGCACTCTTTCAGTTTGGCAGGCCCAGACCAGAGCTCCGCTAAGCAGCGTATTGGGTATTAGAACAGCCATTTCGTCAAAACGGACATATTATATTTTTTGAACGAAATCAAAACTGACTTTTTTTGCCAAAATCTGTCGGAATTTTTTGCTCATGGGGGTCCGGCGTTCCCAAAACGCCGTACCCCCTGGTCTATGGTTGAGACCAGACACACACACACACACACAAAAAAAAAAAAAAAAAAAAAAAAAAAAAAAAAAAAAAAAAAAAAAAAAAAAAAAAAAAAAAAGTATCTGGTCTCAACCATAGACCAAGGGGGTCCGGCGTTTTGGGAACGCCGGACCCCCAGGAGCAAAAAATTCCGACCGGATTTTGACAAAAAAAGTCAGTTTTGATTTCGTTCAAAAAATATAATATGTCCGTTTTGACGAAATGGTTGTTTTAGTGCCAGCGCAAGCGTGGAGGCGCTGAAAAGGATAAGTGAAGCTCGCTGCGTGCAGGGTTCCGCTGCTGGTGACGAGTTCGGGAACAGGCCATGGGTAGAGATAGACTCGCCATTGGTGCTTGAGGTGAGGGGGGTGGATGAGGGAGAGGTAAGGAGTGGGGGAGGGGGAGGGGGAGGGGGAGGAGGAGGAGGAGGAGGAGGAGGAGGTGGGGAAGGAGGAGGGGGAGGGAGCGGTGGTGAGGAAGGTGCATTGGAGACAGAGGCAGCTCGCCACGGCGGTTCGCAAGGCACGTTCCGACATCGCATCTGCTCGGTGGATTGCAGAGGAGAGGGGTAGGTGGAGTGTTGGGGAGGAGGGGGGGAGAGAGGGGGTGAGGGGGAGGAGGGAGGCCGGGAAGGGGGGAGGGATGGCTGCAACGGTAGCGCCGCAATGAAGCTTAGAAGCGCTATGCCTGCGAGAAGCGCAAGGTACAAGACGAAGGCGTAGATGGCTATACTCTCCTCCGCCTTGCCCCCTGTCGCTTCGTCATTATCCGCCATGCTTAGCAAGCTACGCGTTGCGTTGTGCTGTTGTTGGCGCTGGCCCTGCTATCACACTAGGCCACTGGTTGCTGCGTGCCGATATCGGTCTCATGCACCTGACGTGAGAACCGTCAAGGGTTGCGCGCGGGTCATACCGATTCTTCGGGCTCCATCGAGTCATCGACGAGATCCAAGTCCGTGAAGAAATCCATGCTGTCAGACGGCCACCGCTTGGTCGGACTCTCGTTTGCCTGATCGAGAAGGTCAGTTTAGACTGTCGGTTCGAGTTATGCAACTGATGCATTGCTACAGTGTCCGTTCCCGATTTGACTCCTGGCTTTTGCTTGTCGTTGTTGCCGCTGCTGAAAAAGCATCCCGTCCGCTTTCTGTTTCAAACCAGCAGGATCTGCATCCAGCTGCTGCCCTGCATCACGTACATGTCTAGAAATCGTCCTATCCGTCTTTTGTCACATAACTCGCAACAAGGAAGGAAAGAAAAAAAGGGGAAAGAAGAAAGAAAAAAAAACAAAAGAAATATTAAAAAAAAAAAAAAAAAAAAGTTAATCGTGTGTTCGGTTTTCGTCATGCCTTCCCTTCTCCCAAGTGGCGGAGTGTCCGTCCTACGCATGGTACATCGGGTTATCAGTGTGTTCATAGGAAGTGCATTCGTCACAATCCTGCTCTTTTCTTTCCGATCAAGAGATCAAACCTCTTTTTTTTTTTTTTTTTTTTTTTCAAACGAAAAAAAAAAAAAAAAAAAAAAAAAAAAAAAAAAAAAAAAAAAAAAAAAAAAAAAAAAAAAAAGAAAACAAAAAAGTTCCCCTTCCTCCTAGCGCGGTGTGCTAAGTCCGTGGTGCGTTCGACGTAACCTAGTTCAATCGTTTCGACCTCTGCTGGTGCGGATCATTGATTCAATCCGTCGTTTTGATTTCCCGTATGGAATGGAGGTGCGGGGTATCATCTGGCCGAGGAAAAAATGAGAGAGAAAAGAAGGACAAAAGAAA